GGAGAGGCTCTGAGCAGGCCGTCTTTGTATGTTCGAGAAGCGCTGACGAAAAACCTTGTGTGCCAGAGCCGTTCCTCCGGAGTGATTCTCGCAGATTTTCTCATGGATTTCCCTGAGTATGTATGTGGCCTCTTCGCCTTCCACGCATCGAAGAAGCGATGAGGCGAAGCCACTTTTGTAAAGAGTATCTTCTTGCAGGACGAAGTGTGCAGCCCTTCTTCTTAACTTCCTCGCCTCGCTTCTAGAAGCAGGCAGTGTTTGATCCTTCAGGCAGGCGATGATAGGCTGCATCCACAATGGGGTGCCTTCTATCCATAGTATCTCTTCACCTCCAGAGGTTCACTTCGCCTCGACCTCAGGGCGAGGGCGCTTCGGTCAGTTCAGCAGGATCGTCTATGTCTCCCAGTGTGCTATCAGGTCGTTGACATTGGTGGGATCACTTCAAAAATACTTTGGATGTGGTTTATCAGGTCGGAATGTGTGGTGGCGGGCATTCCGAGACGATTCAAATAGGGGCGTAACAAAATCCATCCATTTATGGAAATCTAGTTCATTTAAAATCAACCATGTTTGATTGGTGCCATCGTAACTTGGAGCGTTTAATTCAATCGGCTTGAAAGACGACTCAATTTTTAGGTTCTGTGACCTATCAACTGTCAACCGATCATCTTATCATAGCCACTGGCAGATTTAGCGAGGGATTGACCTGAGCTCGCAGCCCTTTATATTTTTACCCATATAAAAATATTTTTTTATATTTTTTTTTTTTTTAACATTTTAGTTAAGCTAATTTTATTTTAGTCCAAATTTGAATCTTCCTCTGATCATAGCATAGCGATCAAGCTAATGAATGTTATATTATCATCAATAAAACTATTGACATAATAATAAGCTATCGACTTGTTACATGTTATCTTGACAACATAACCTATGTTATTTGCGTATGTTGTTTAATACACCCAATCAGATCCCATACCCTAGGTTTCCGTGTGTTTACACTCCTTGCTCTTGTCCTCCACGTACGCGGGTGCAAATTGCTATCCTTTAGCCGTCGAGATAGAGTAGACAATTAATTTTTATCTAAGTCAAAACTAATTATTATATGGTGTTTTGAGTTAAGTTGATAGTAAAGCAACTGGTTTCGCAAATTGTGCAAATTGGTTTTGCTGAAATGTAAGAGATGCCGGTTGAGATAGAGAAAAATGAATTAATAAATGATATACAGGGACCACTTTCTGCTCATGAAAATCTGTTCTTGATATTAGCCTTTTTATAAATGTGGAAATCTGTCCTTTATGTGTATATATTTTATGTAATTTCTGAGTTGATGCTGGACAAGAAGACGTTACCAAAAAAATCATAGAACTCCACCCAACAGTCTGATTGGCTCTATTCAGGTTTGTTTCAAGTATAATCTGTTTTCGTTTTATATGCTATTTGCTCATAAAATTATCAATTGCGTGAGTAATTATGTTTTACAGTAAATTGTGCCGTGAGTGCTCTCAACGATTGACTGACGTGCCTATTAGTCTATCAAAATTTCTCTTTTATATATTCATTTGTCGAAGAAGCTCTTTTCGCTACTTCATTAAAAACGACGTACTAGTCTAGTATCTCACTGACCTTGTGACCCATAAGGCTAAAAAATTAGAATAAAGCCACTCGTATATCAAAGTTTGTACATTGTGATTGACATCATCCTAAATCTCAAGATTTGATTAATGAAAAAATTACTTTTTTAAACTGTCCAATTGTGTGCTACCATGTGACAAGATGTAAAATTTGGTATGCACTATAATGTACACCAATCATGACTTGAAAAATTATCACTCAGATGTGTAATATGCTCCAAATTTATTGGGTTTTATAAATTGAGTTGGCACTTGATTTTGTCTTCATGCAATTAATAGTTGGGCTTGTGTACAACAAGATGTATACCCCCTTACATGAGGGGGTCTCACAATTAGCATGGGCCCCTCATGTGAGAAGGGTGTAAACTTGTACAGCAAAAATTGCTATACAAGCAGATTTACTGTTAATAATTTAACGATTTTTGCTGTATAAGTAGATTTATCCTTAATAATTTAACGTTTGTTTATTTGAGATTTACACAAAATGTTTTTGCTGTAGAAGCATATTTACCCTTAATAGTTTAACGATTTTTGCTGTAAAAGGAGATTTATCATTAATAATTTAACTTTTGTTTATTTGAGATGTACACGAAATGAAGCATCTTTGGGACATTCAATTATTGGAACAATCATGGATCCATGTCCACATGCATGCAACGACAAGTCTATTCACTTTGACTTGAGTGGAAAAACTTTTGGAAAGATTAATGTCGATGAAGCCCGAGTCCCTGGTAGGCGATTATTTAGACGACTTTCATTCTTTGAAAAAAATACATTTTTAAATAATATTTTAATATCATTTCAATCACACATTCATTAAAATAATATTACTCGTAAAATTAAAACTTTTATTTATTTTTTAATCATATTCCATCAATACACTATTTAAAATTACATTCTTATAAAAAGAATGGAGTTCAAACAAGGACCTAATTTCAATTGACCTTCTTACACTTATATGACGCAGATTGATATGATAACGTTGTCAAGAAAAACTTTCTTTTTTTAATTTCCAAAACAAATTAAACAGTAATTTTGATATTCCTTTGTGTACGGGAAATCTATTCTGTTACTTCAATTCATTCCAGATATCATATGATTGTCACCTGAACGTCTAATGTTGGAATAAATATGTAAAAGGTTAGGAACGACAAACTATAATTCGTGGATATGAGGGTTGAACTTACAAAAAGTTGATGAATCTCAGTAAAATTTGCCCCTCTAATTTTTATATTTTTTAATTTCATTGAGATTCAAATCCCCGCTAACGAAGCTTTGTAAGCATTTATTTGGTTTCCATTGTTTTAAAACTATTTTTCTACATCATTATTTTTAATTATATATTCACACAATAAAAATATTTACATATAAATTCAATTTTTTTTTATTTTTTAACCACATATTTTTTTAAAAATACTATTCAAAAATTCATTTTTTTATTTTTTTATAAATAATGGGCACGAAATGGGCTAACTTTAGCCCCTATTTGCCCCCATTAATTTCAATTTCATTACATTTTATTTTTTTCTCCTATTTTTAATCACACAATTTTCAATAAAATAATATTACAAGTAAATCGAAAACATTTCCTTCTTTTTCATTCACTCATTTTTCAAAAAATTACTATTCCACTAATTTTCATTTCCAACAAGAGGGGGGGACCCACGGCAAATAAAAAAATCGTGGCCCCCGCTCTTGTGAGGGGGTCGGTACACCGGGGTGTCAAACCCGGTGTACATGTAGAAGAACCCTTCCACTAATTTTCATTTCCGTAAAATGGGGCCAAAGAGAGCTGATAGTCAAACATGCTCTGAAACGTCGAGGGGTACAACGGGAATTTCATGCAGCCGGATCAGACGCGCGACAGTTGGGTCTAAGTTAAAGTTCTGCCACATGGGAGCATAAACACGGCCAGATTGGAGAGATTGAGAAAAATCGCAGGCCCATTTCATCCTTCCGTATCTTCCCCCTCCCCTCTCTCTCCGGCTTCCTCCGATCTGGCTCCGATCAATCGGTAAGAGCAAGAGCTTATCAATTCCAGTATTTGTTTTGATATTAATCGTAAATCCGTGACGACTTAGGGTTTGATGGATTGTTAATTTGTTTCTCTTTTAGCCGTAAATTTGAGTCATCGGGTGTTTTGAGCATATCCAAAAACCTCTTTGCAACCCTTAAAAATCATATTCCAACACGTTTAAATTAACATTTCAAACTCACTCACCATAATTAAATGCATTCAAATTGTTTCAATTTTCAAGGTAGAAAAATAATACAATAATTTTGAAAAAAGCTAGATAAAATAAAATATAGAAAAATAATAAATATTTTTTCGAGAATAGTAAAATTAAGTCTACTTTAAAATTTTAATGCTTTATAGATGCTCTCCAAATAATAGAATATGCTTTTTAAAAATTGGGAGTTCATTGGAGATGCTTATTTGTATTCCTTATTGCAGAAATTGCAGTTATTGTATTAATCGATTTTGTAGTGTAGATTATTGAAAATTACTAATTTGGAGGGTATATTAATGGAGGAAATGATGACCAAAGACTTAATATGATAGGAGCAGATGCATTTCTATGATAAAGAAAATTATTATAAGGGACTAATAGAGTTCGATTTCTAATTGAGAAGGTTTGTGTTCAACTGATGCTAAAATTAATGAAAGGGAATTTGGCGTTATTGAGTTATGGACTGTTAATTCACGTGAGATGTCTTGAGCTGATCTAGTTAAATTAGTTCATTTTACTGAATTAAGCTTGAGATTTAGCCTTCGACGCTTTCTTTTTTTCCACTTGTTCTTAGCATTTCTTTGCCGTTAAAACATTAGGCTGATGCACGATGCAGATATCTGGAAGGAAGGATTAAAGCTCATTAAAAGTGAGCAATGCACCATGTCTATTTCTTTCAGTATCTTCTCGCTCAAGCGAGAAGCGAAGGCAGGAAATGTCCTGCCTCTGACTGCATCGAGCCGACAAAAGCTCTGCTCGAGTGGAGAATAGAACTATAGAAGTAGGACTTCTGCTTCTGTTCGCTCGAGTGGGAATCTTCTGTAACTTGTGGGAAACTTAATGTTCTGAATTTCTTAACATGAAACAATACCTTTCTTCATGGTGGAACACATCCATTCGACCATTCGTGTATTGGTGGAATTACATCTCTAAAAAGATGTTTTTTTATGGAAGATTAACACAACTACAACATGTATGTAGTTTCATATTTATTCTTTGTTCTTCTATTTGCTAGGCACAAATAAAGCCTTCAGGACTACATTTCTTCAAGTTGTTCAAGCTTTTGATTCCGGTCTTTTTCATTTTTTATTTGAAAATTTTTGTTTCAAACCCCATTCTCCTTCAATTTTTTTGGCAAGTTCAATCTCCATTACTTTTATTTAAATATTTTGGATATAATGGCCCGTGAAATTTAACTTTGATCCTGATTTTCTACCAAATTCCCTACAAGACCCAAATCCGTTCAGGATTATTCTAATTAAGTTCAATTTTAGGGAATGTTTTCATTAAATGGCTGGGAACTTTTGTGGGGAAACTCTAATCTAATTTGTGTGATTGTCCATGAGCTGCCATTTTTCTCATGCTGCCTTCTTTTAAGTAGAGCATCAGAAACTATGCTATCACTCATGAAATCAAAGTCAATCGTTTTGGTTGGAACTTGGAAGCATTCTGACTTACTCCAGTATCATGTATATGCTTTGCTCTAAAAAGTTAAATCTATGCTTCAAAGTCATATTATAAATTTACTGCTTGAATTTTTATCTTCCGAAGAAAAAAAAATGAAATTCTGTTAAGAAGTTAAATGTTTCAATCGAATGAATCTGTCATCAATAATTTATAGATTCATCTTTCAATGAAAACTTTTAAATTCATTCCTGGTTGGACCTCAGGTACTGGTGTTGTCTACCGTGTAAACTTGAAATGTTCATTCTGTAGTGGCTCCAGCTAGCCACAGCATGTGGAATATTGCTTCCAATTGTATAGCCGGAAGTATGGGCCTGAAGCACGATGTTCTGAAGCCAACACAGGATGCAATGGATTGCTCAGATGATGGAGTTTCGTCCATCAGCAGCAGAGAGGAGGGACTGGAATGCCCGATATGCTGGGAATCCTTTAACCTTGTTGAAAACATACCCTATGTCTTATGGTGTGGTCATACATTATGTAAAAACTGCATCCTGGGGCTACAATGGGCTGTTGTGAAATTTCCTACTTTACCTGTCCAGCTTCCGCTCTTCATATCTTGCCCCTGGTGCAATCTCTTATCACTCCGTCTGGTTTACAGGGGAAACCTCAAATTTCCTCGTAAAAACTTCTTTCTTCTCTGGATGCTCGAGAGCATGAATGGTGACAGAGTAAAATCTCACTCTTCCACATGTGGAGATCATCAGTCCGTTTGGTCATCTAGCACGAAAGCACCTGGAAGCCATACAGGGAACTCTGACCACTGGAGGGGACAGAATATTCATCATTCTGAGCATTTGGGATCCAGATCAAGTCACAATGGTCATCAATTCAACGGTTCTCTTGCTATTGAGAGACTGCATTCATCCCTCAGAAAGTCTCTAGTTTTCTTTGTTCACTTGACAGCCAAGTTTCCCCTGATCCTCATTTTTCTTCTCATCATTCTATACGCAATACCTGCAAGTGCAGCCATCTTGGCCCTATACATACTCATCACAGTTCTCTTTGCTCTCCCATCTTTTCTCATTTTGTACTTCGCATATCCGAGTTTGGATTGGCTTGTGAGGGAGATTATCACTTGAGGTGCCTTGACTTTGCTTTTTCCTGATCACATATGAATTCACTATTGCACCACTACAACGTGCAGTTCTTTAAGTTGTGAACCCCATCACAATGTCGTGGTTTTGCTGCTATTACACTTGTAAGAACTCCTCCACGTCTTGTGCTCGCTCTGTTAGGTTAGTATATTATTGTGTTTTTTAAAATTGGCTGCATTTACCAATCATTGTTCTTCTCTGTGTACAATGGTAATTCTAGCAAGAATATTTGTTGGGCATGATTATACTGCATCATGGCCTGCACAATCTCGGTTGAATATACATTTATATGCCTTTGTTGATTTCTTCCAATGCAAGTTTAAAATTCTCTTATTTTGGTGCTTTAGAAATGAAAGCCATTCTTTAGTCGTTTGAGTGGAATTCCCAGTGTAGTTAACCAGAATAATAGAACCTGTTGGATGTGAATTGTTACTGCCTCTACACAAAGTCGGAAAAATAAAAATAAAAAAATTGATGGGCTTTGAAATTAGCGCTCCGGTGATAAAATTCTGGAATACATTGCGAATAACTGCTGTCCACTATGAACTTATATATCTATAAAGTATTAAAGTACCTGTCACAATCTTCTATAAATTTGGGATATATTTTCATTTTTTGAAAAATGTAACAGTGGCTCACGATGATACTTTAGACAAGAATATGAGCAAAAATGAGCTAAACCAACTTGATTAGATTTACACCTTCAACAATGCTTATGTTAACAGTTTTGTTACAGGTATAGAAAAAATTGGCATATTTCTTATAGAAAAATATTTGGCAGTTTTTCATTGATTTTTGACATAACAAACACAGAAATTGCACCATACAAATGCTGTCAATGCAGCATCTGTATCATTTCTGTCAATAATTTCCTGTACCCATGATTTATTTGTATACTAATTAGGTCATGATTCCCATAGGATCAGCTCTTTAATTTCCTAGAACTATGTGCTCCTTAAAATTTAAAAAAAAAAAAATTATTCTCCCGTCCCAATTATATAGGATTGTTCGTTTTTCACATGGATTAAGAAATCTTATTTAATGTTATTAGAAAATTAATTTTTGTCAAGATCTTTCTTAGTTTACCCTTATTCAATTTTCAATATGTAGTAGTAAATTATTGTTGGAATTAGTAAAGAATTTGAATGCTTTAATTTTAAGAAGAAGAAATGAGAGTTGTTTCATATTTCCAAGAAGTGAAAAATGTGTATATTTGGTTGATTTTAAGTTGGCATGTTAAGTGAGGAAAATTGAATAAGAGTATATTGGTAAAAGAACAAAACAAAATATTTTAAAATATGAAATATGTATATATATTTGGGATAAGAGAAAAAAACAACTTAGCATATATAATTGAGACGGAATGAGTATTTATAATTACTAATAAAAATAAATATTACAAGGATCCTACCTTCTTGTTGTCAAGGAAGATAGATCCAATGCCCAAGAAAGTCTCAAAGTACGTAAATTATCTTGTGCGAGACACTTGAAACAAAATGTATATATTCAAAACTAACTAAGGTGTATTTATTTTTATGCAACGGGGCACACAATTCTAGATGACAATGTGTTATTTATCATTTTTTAAAAAGTATTTTACAATAAAAGATTAATAATATAGATAATATTCATGACACAAAAATGATATAAGTAGCAATTTTTAAAAAAAGATCGTGAAATATGTGAAAACATTTTATCTCACATTTGTCACCCGACTAACAATGATATCAAGAAATTGATTTTTTTTAAGCAAAAAAATAAAAATAAAAAATGCCAAAAGAGATGTTCGGTGCTATGAATATAATCGAAAATTCTTCAAGTACAGAAAATGTTTGCCAGATTTTTGAATTCTCTCTCACATGAGAGTGGGCTCGTGTATAAAATATTGAAAAAAAAATTCCGCCTATAAATGTGAGTGTTCGGTAGGTACAGGGATTTAAATCCCTATACCTATAGCAAGGTTCGAATATAATCAATCAATCACGATTAGGATCCTCTAAATAGAAATTTCTCATGTCTGATTTGATTTACACCAAGTAAAGAACTATTTTTCAACCCTAACCCAATATTTTTTTCTCTCAACTTTTCTGTGGTGATGATGACATTGCCTTTTGCATTTAAAATCTGGATAAATCTCCATAAAAAATTGAGGGTGTTTGGGAGATATTTTTATATGAAAATGTATTTATGAATAGTAAATTGAAGGAAAATGTGTGGTTGAAAAATAATGAAAAGTTTTTTATTTACGTGTAATATTATTTTAATAAAGAATGTCTGGTTGAAAAGAAAAGAGAGAAAAATACATTTTGAAAAAAATGAGTACCAAACGGGTCTAACTTTTTCTGATTTGCTCGAATATGTTTAAAAAGAACTTTTTATTTATTTTTCTCTGAATATATACGGCTTCTCTTAATAATAATCCTGACTCTACCATCCTAGAGTTCCATTTCCGGGAATTCTGTTTATGACATGAAAGTGAATCGAGAAGCTTGCAGCCGTGAACGAGTAATCCGAGTTTTTAAGCAAGGAATTATTCATTTTTCTCATATCTCACACCCACGGCATTCTCTCTCTCAAACATGCAAATAAACCCTCGCTCTTTCGTCCCTAATGAAGATTCTGCAACAAACAAAACGCGCAAACTCGCAGAAAAAGCCTCATAGGAACCCTAAGAACACAGCAAAACTGCAAGGCGTTGCTTGCACGATCTCTCTCCCGCCCTGAAAGCTAAAGGGTAAACAAAAAGAAAGTAGAGATGGAAAAGGTGGGTTCTCTTTTATTCTTAGGCTTTCTTAATGCAACAGTATTATTAGTTATTGATTAGTCCGTGTTCAATTCTGTTTTTTGTTAATGCTTTTCCTTCGAGTTGTGGTAAAGCAGATGTATAAATAAAGGATGTAAGAGTCTGAAAGAAGAAGGGAAAGAAAAGGCACGCATGTTTCTTCACTTCGTTTTCCCTCTTATTAAACGTGGGATTCAAGAGACGTTCATTCTGGTGAATAAATTACGGGTTATGGGATTCTATGAAATGGGTTTTTTGCAAGATTGGATTTTGTTAGTGATTGCCTCTGTTGGTCGATTTTTGCTTGGTTTTCACAGAATCGTCTCCTTATATATTTTGTGTGGGGTCATCTTCGATTGGTGATTTCTTAATCAAGATGTTGGGGGGGATAGATTAAAAGGTTCGATATCAATCTGGTTTTCTTTCTTGTTCTGTTTTTTATGATATTTTTTTGCTAATAAAATTAGATACCTTTAGGAAGTTGATTGTTAATTGGTAAAGAAATTTGGGCGAGATTAGATATGGTGATTGTTTATAATTTTTAGATTCGGAGTTTTTGAAGTGACCAAGAAATGTCAGCAATATGAATTGATATATCTGAATTTAGCCTTTTGTTGTCAAATTGTTAAGCTTAATTAGAAGTTTAATTTCTTTCACTTCTATTGAATAACAATGGGAGTGACCAGTTTTCTTCGCCAATCATTTCATTTTCAAGCTCTCTTTTTCTTGCTTTTGTAGATTCATGAACGGTTTAGGGTGGGGTGGAGGATTGCTTGAGATGAACGAGTGCAATGAATTACTAGTTTGATTTTGTTTGTTTGAAATTGAAGGCAGTGTATATATTGTTTTACTGTTGTTTAATCTCCACCTGTTTTTGTCTTTGTAAAGCCCTGCATTTGTATTTTGTTATATAATTCTTCAGTGGCACCATATAGTGGAAGCAATTCTCTAAAGCAAACTTCATGATGTATCCACTTTTGCATCTCTTCAAATTCTATATAGGCGTAACAATTGCAAATTTCAAGCCAGTGCCTTGTTTCTCCATACTGCAGTTTTGCACTTTTGAACTTTGGCTCCTGGGAGGGGATGAGGTACATTATGGTCATTAGTATCATTGCTTCTATTGAACCGAACAACTAATTATAGGAAATGCGTGATGGAAATGGACTGTTTTACTTTCAAATTGAGTTCCTTCCAGAGATATATTTTTACTTGACGTAATTTCTTCTTAAACTAAATTGACAGTTTAATTAGTGTCGTCTGTGGTTAATATTTAACTTTTGTTTTCAGATTTTGGGTTTTACAAGTTCTTCTCAATTTCCATTTTGATGGCTGAAGGAAGCATCAGTACGATGGTGACTCCAGAAAAAGATAAATTTGACAAGAGAAACATGGGCAAAATTTCTTCAGGAAAATCAAGTTCTCCAAATAATAGAGGCAATATTTATTCCCCGCGCCGTAAAGCATCCCTAGGAGCATACCATGCTAGAGAAAGTATGAGAAGAAATTCTATAGAGAAACTAGATTCTGCAAACAATAGTCAAAAATCGATTCCCCACTATCTCAGAGCATCCACAGGTTCTTGCCATGAT